GTCTTTAGTTTTACATGCATCAAACGTTATGTGGCTATGATAAAAGAAGAAATGGATTAATTAAGATTGAGGAGGTTTATTAATAATCTTTTGAATTTAAATTAAATTCACACCTTAATTAAATTATTGCAAAAGCCCCCAGCACTGCTATTTCACTTGTTCTAGGCCAGGTTACCTCCGAAATTTGGCGCCAACGAAAATGACGTCGAGGGGCTACGTCACATAGCTAGACCATGTTTAGGAATAAATCATATTCATATTCAGGCAATACGCTTGTTATGATACACAATAACATGTGCTTATTGCATTGAATCATCGTTATTTTGCAGTGACAAGCTGTGTGAGAACACGATCATGGCGTGGATGTGAATATTGTAAAGTGTTAATAGATACCCAACATAAAGTGCAAAACAACTATCGGGAAATTCTAAACATTATCGTAAGAGAAGGGAAAGAATTGCAAGCGATTTACAATTTGCAAAGTCAAATGTGCTACTGCATACATTTGAGATGATATGTAAAGAAGGATTTGGTGCGCATTGAAAGTAATTTTGTAAGAAACTTGCAAAAGTTGGCGCACTGCTAAAGCATTTTTCATAATCGTCAATATATCTATTATTCGTACTTTTACCCATTGATAAGATTATGGATCGCAGCATATTAATCGTCAAATAACCATCTATTTCAGGTATCAGTTGTGCTCATCATGCCGTGCAGTGCGTCATCTTCCAAATTCTTATTTTCCACGCGTTCTTAACGAGATTATATGCGGTGAAAGCTCATGTATACGTGGTGATGGACGATGTGCTCAAAAATTTCTACCTCTCAAGGTTAGTGATAACGAAAGTTAAGAAAAGTGCAATACAAAAGGCTATTCCAAACGCACCTCATAATTTCGACGGATGAAAATAACTCATCAAAGGTTATAAGGAAGCGATTGAGCGCCGGCAATTCTTCATCGTAAACGACGTAAAGTAAAATGCTTGTGATGCGATTTAAGGTTAGAACTTGTTCGACCACTGCATTCGATCGCTTACGGCAAATATGTATACCTAAATCAATCGATTCATAACGGTTATTTAGTAACTCCCTCAAAAGTTCAGACTAACAGCGCTGCATTCCAATTCTTCTCACTGCTCCATTTGCTTCTTTTAGTTGAAAGTTGCGTCCTTATCACCTTTTTTCATTGCTTAGCTTAACGCGCTGTACTGTTCGTAAAAGTGCGTATACGCAGCACACCACGCTACCTTCAACATCTTCACGTTATCTGCCATGACC